CACACAACCACACCAACACGTACAATGATTCCATGTGTGTTTTACAAGCATCAGGTAGAAAACAATGCGTTCCAATTCCCTGTCTCCCACTTCCCAGGTATACCAAGGAGAATGCCATAGACGGTAAAACACCTCAACATATACCATGGCGTAATGGCATCACGCATCCTTGGGGATGATGACCTTGGAGTTCCGAACTTATGTCTTCAGCTGGATATTCCTTCCCGGCCAGAAAAGTTTCACGTACAGATTCCAGATATTGAGGTTGTTTGTTGTCATACACACGCGGGTACAATGAAATTAACCTCTTCACCCCACGTGGCAAGAACAGGCAGAACAGTTTCACGTACAGATTCCATGATATTGAGGTTGTTTGTTTTTTTTTTTGTTTTTTGTCATCACACACGGTGGTACAGTGAAATTAGGATTGTCATAACTGCTCAAGTGGGAAATCTTCGACTGTATTGTCCTTATATTCGGTCCTCTAGGGCCTATGAGATTGACATATTCTGCTCCGAAGACCTTCATTTACATCCTGATGCTATTGAGGTAACCATAATCCGCATAATCTACCTACGTAAAAAAGTAGGACTAAAATATTTACCCAGATAGAATGCCAGCATTGTAGCATACACACACATACGCACACCACAAAACACCGAACACACACACAAACACACATACACAAAACACATATACACACACATAAACACATACGTTAATATACACATGTGTGTGAATAAATAAATAAGTATTATATAATATATATTTACATATATACCACTCACACAGACACATCCTTGGCGCTCGGGTGACCGACCTTCATGGTCTCATCAGCCGATAGATAAAAAATATATAGGGACATATATATTAATATATATATATATATATATATATAATATAATATATGTATGTATAGGTAGATAGATAGAAGATACATATATTTATGTATACATGAAAATAAGTAAAACAATTTATTAAAAGAAACTATAAAATTATAACAGGATTGAAATGGACTGCGAAAACTACAGGGGCGTATTGTTTAGTCATTCGTGGCATAGGAGGAAACAGGCCAGGCAGAAAACAGGTTATATATATATATCATATAATATATATATATATATATATATATATATCATATATACAGAATATATATTTAATATGTATGTAGATATATATATATAATATATAATATATATAATATAATAATACATATATATATGCGATATATATATAGATAGATATAATCAGGGCCGGATTCCTATGGGGTATGTTTGTCAGAGGCTGCAGCCCGGCCCCTCAATCTGTTTTATTCACTACGGTTGTTGTCTGTGAATAGAGTAAAAAATAGTGGTATTTAAAGAATATTTTTATTGAAAAAACAATCGATAGCTATGCTAGTTTATTTAAAGAATTTGCAATAAGTTTACTTCAAGTATGTAAATCGTCGCTAAAAATTATATCACGAGTAAAAAGATTCTAGGGGGCCCCATAATTTAACTAGCCTGGGTCCCCAAAAGGTCATAATCCGGCCCAGGTATATAATGTATATATATGTATCATATATACGTATATATATATATTATAGAGATAGATATATATATAATATATAGAGAGATATATATATATATACTATATATATATATATTAATATAATATATACTATTATATATATATATATATATATATATGTATATGTAATATGATATGTTATATATTGAATATATATATGAATATTTTCACAATACAATGTATTCATTCTCATATATACCTTTTTCTACATTTGTCAAGATGATTACGGGTTCATATATAATATATCATATATATTATAGATATATATATATATATATTATACATATATATTAGATAGATAGATAGATTGAAGATAGATATGCATCTCTCTCTCCTCTCTCTCTCTCTATAGATATATATATATATATATATATAGATATATATATTACGCACACACACACACACACACACACACACACACACACACCACACAATATATATATATAATGTGTGTGTGGCGTGTGTGAGGTGTGTGTGTGTGTGTGTATGCAATTAACATATATATATATATATATATAATATATAATATATATATATATATATATACTATATATATACATATATAAATATATGCAATATTTATATATTGCAATATGCATATATCCTACTCTATAGGCATATATAGAGGAGGAATATATCAATATATAGGGGAGTGGGTGGGTGTGTATGTATGGCAAGGTGAAGCAGTGGACACTAAAGAAGAAATTTTAATCAGCCAGCAGACATTATGCCACTGTACAGTAATTCCCGACTCACCATGTGTTCCTTCTTGTGACTCTGGAACTGATTGACGATGTGTTATCACCAACTTCTTATTTGCATGCAGGAAACTCATTAATACATAACCACGTCTTTTAACATTATAAATAATTTACGATATTCGACGAGGTTTATAACTTAGTTGTGTTTTACCCTTCAACCAGGTAAGTGTTGGATTTACTCCCCGGACTGAGACAACTTCTCTCACTGGCTGCTGTTGGGATTATCCAAAGGCCGCTACACAATGGATCAAGGTTGTTATCACACTCACAAACAGTTCCCCGGGGCTGTGTGGCAAGTACGTCGTGGTGCAAAAGGGTCTCCAGTGAGTTTGATCAGTTGCAACTTAATGAAAGTCAGGTGTTTGCCAAAAGTATTCTGTAGGTGTAGGACTTTTATATCATGCTAAAATAGACATACAGTGACACTAGTTTCGTTTTATATGTCGTGAACAAGTAAACATGGTAACGCTAGAATGAAAAGACCCTAGTTAAGTGATCAACATTTTCAGTTTTATTGCAATATCTATCGGATGGTCCAGCAGCACAAATTCTCCTCGATGTAGTATGTAAAACTGTCGGGAAAAATGTGAGTTGCTGACCATCTATCACTTGTCGTGAATAGATACATAGTCGTGATACACACTGGGAATCGTGTGAGATGATGCCTATTAAATTTCGAAAGCTATCGAAACGTTTTTTAATTTTTTTCATCCATTTAACAAATAAACACACAACACACAAATACCACAATATGTATATAATATATATATATATATTATATAATATTATATATATATATATGTGTTGTGTGTGTGTGTGGTGTGTGTGTGTGTGTGTGCGCGCGTGTGTGTGTGTGGTGTGTGTTGTGTGGTGTGTGTTGTGTGTTGTGGTGTGTGTGTGTGTGTGTGTGTGTGTGTGTGGATTCCGTTGCGTGTGTCGTGTGTGTGTGTGTGTGTTTGTGTATGTGTGTGTATGTGCGTGTGCTGTGTGTGTGTGTGTGTGTGTGTGTGTGTGTGTGTGTGTGGTGTGTGTGTCGTGTGTGTGTGTGGATGTGTGTGGTGTGTTGTGTGTGTGTGTGTACATCACTACACACACACACACATACGTGTGATGTGTGTGTTTGTTGTGTGTTTGTATGTGTGTATATGTGGAAAATGGAAAGGGAAATTTCCGTGTAAGCATTCGAGAATAAAGACCAACGGGAAACAGCTTCATTTTATTTCGTTTACTATGCATTAGTAAAAGCCAGTGTTGAAAAAGTGACAATTTAGTGATACTGGCCGTATTACTAACGCCCAAACATAAATTTGAGCACCTGGTGTAAACAAATGTCGTTTCGTGCTATCAGTACATTCAGATCGAGCGATTTGCCAAATGATAATACAAACACACACACCACACACACACAAACACAACACACCACAACACACACATACATAGATTCGCACCTGACAGTAATATTCAATATATCAGTTGACAATGTTAATACAATTAAATGACATGAAAACCGGTCATAAACTTCCTGCAACGCACAACCCATGTCAAATGGGTACTAAAAAAGAATATTAATGAGTTTTCAGACTAGAAACTGTGGGATTAAACGGATCACGTACGGAGTCGTTTCGAGTGGTTTGATTCTCATTTCCCAAGGAAACCCAATGTAGAAATAAGTAACAATAACAAAAAAAAAAAAAAAATACCAAGAGCTGAAAAAATTCTTATCCAAATCATATTTTCCACATGTAGAAGATGTAACTTCATGCTTTGACCTACAGATAAACACGACGCCAGTTCTTTCTTTTTTCATTACCAAATGAGACTGCCATATCCATCTCTCTAGGCATAAAATTAGATAATGACCTGGAAAACATGGAAACTATGTACTGTCCCGAAGGATAAATATAGTCGTCAGTATCTTGGTTTTAAATGGAACGAAGCAAGAGAGAGAAGATTCCCTGGGATAAGGAGAGAGATAAAATGAGGATGTAAACAGCCACCTGAAAAAAAAGTATATTGAGGAAAAATAGAAGAAAGGAGGCGAAACTTCTTCCTTGGTGGATATTTTTGGCGTCCATTAGTGGAGGATTAATAAGGGCTTGTTGATTGGGCTAATTGTGTGTAAAGGTATGATGGGGTTTAGGGGTATTAAAGGTAAGCAAAGCACAGACGCTAAGGATACCAAAAATCAATAGCATTTCCCAAGATGTGCTACCGTCTTGCAAGTACAGTGCATTCACTGCTTTCTAATAAAAAAGAAAAGAAATTTTACAGTGGGCTGCAGACGGAAGGTGACGTAATAAGCAGAGAAACACTGACATGCTATGAACAAGTCAATGAATTGACCATGGCCGTAGTTGAGGCAATGCTTAATATTTATGTTTCCTTTTGCTTTGGTAAACTTATGTACAATAAAAATAGGGACTGATTTCTCCTCTCTATATATATATATATAATATTATATATATATATATATATTATATGTATATATTATATAGTATATAATATATATATATATATGGATATATATATATTTATATAATATACTATATAGATATAATAATATATATATATATAATATATATATATATATATATATATATATATACTATATATATATATATATATATATATACATGTATATATACATGTGTGTTTTCTGTATGTTTTATTTATTTTAGCTATTTATTTTTATGTATGCATTCAGATTATATATTACTAAAATGTGTTGCCTTTTACACCACTGAATTATTTTTCACAAAATCGACTGAATACTCCAGAATCCAAACT